GGCCGCAGACCCGCGCACGCCTACCTGCTGCCGCGCATCACCTACTGCGCGGCGGACGGGCGTCACCCGCGCGTCTTCGCCTGGGTCTACCGCCAGCAGGCGAGCCAGGCCGGCGGGGGGCCCCATTAGGACCCCGGGCTGGGGAGAGGCCGGCCAGGGCTCGGCCGGGCGCCAGGGTGCACGCACCGTAGGGCTGTCCCTGCAGGTCGTACTGCTGCATGCGGTAGACGGTGAATTCGTGCGCCGCGTCGGCGGCGGGCAGCGGCGGCGCCACGAGCAGCAGCACCGCGGGCAGGAAGACGATGAAACCGAGCGGCAGACACGACGCCTTCAACATGTTCTCCAGCACCTCGCCCGCTTCCTCCAGCATCCTGGCCGCGGAGAGGCCGCGCGGAGCGGCAGCAGTGACCGGACAGCGGCGGCGGCTCCCGCGGACTCACCTCAGCATGGGTAGGCGCCGGGGTCCTGCGGGCACCGCGCCGGGCAGCCCGCGCCCTCTCCGGGTCTTGCAGGCAACGCGCAGGCCGCCCGTCCGCCGCACTGCCCGCCGGGAGTTGGAGTCCCCGGACTGGGCGGAGCTACCTGGGAGCTGTAGGCCCCCTCGGCCTCTCTGACAGCAGCCGTGCTGGACTGACTAAAGCTGCCGACAGTTCACTCACGCTCAAGTCAAGAACATAAAGTCTTTCAAAAACTCTATTTGCGAGGGAACTGAAGCCCCAGCTTTGCGGGTGGGAAGGGGGACGCGGGGGGACGCGGGAGGTGGACCAGGACGTGACCTTACAACCCGGAAGGAGGTTGGAAGAGAGGAAAAGGCGGGCCCAGCCGGGCGCGCTGGGACTTCTGGGAATGGGAGTCCCACGGAACTAGCATACGGGATCGTGGGAATCGCGTTCTGTCAGGTCTGAGAAAATCACTTAATAGTCCTAATGAGTGGTGTTAATATTAAATCCCACGAGGGCATAGATTTTTGCCGCTCTTGTGCACTGATGTCACCCCAGAACTGTACTCAAGGCCTTGCACACAGTGACTTGTCCCTAGCGTTTTTTTGGTGGGTGAATGAATGAATGAGTGAACGAATGAAAGAAAAATGAAGAAATCGTTGACAGCTAGTTCTTAAAATGACGGATACCAATAGCTCACGCGCCTTGTAGTCTGGGATCTGGTGTCCGTGCAGTAATTGGTGATATATTTATGTTTATGCTCACTCATATCTGGGGCATAGTTATAATACAAGTTATTTATTCATCAGAAATTCAAATTTAAGTGGGTGTCCCAAATTTCTGCCCTCTAATCTGGCAACTCTGAGAACCCACTGTCTCAGGACCAGAGCTCTTGAGGAGCAGAGTGACTTACACCCCTCCTACAGATAGGAAGACTAAGACCAGAGGGTGCAGAACACATCAGCTCCTCCTATAATTGACATTCAGTCTCCAGTATATTTGCCAAGAACTTGGGACCTGGCTCATGTCACTAGTGAGAGGTGGCATCTGTGCCAATAGACAGCATGAACGAGAGTCCTAACCTCTCCCTCTCCCAGTGATGTGACTTTGGGCAAGGTGCCTAACTTCGCGGGGCCTTGGCCTCCTAACCTGCCAAATATGATGACAAATAAAAAGCTCTTCCCCACCCCAGAGGTATATAAGAATTCAATAAGATAACCCTCACGAACTGTCTTAGGAGGACCTAGTTACACATTAAGTGCTCAGTAAGTACAGGTAGGAAATTTCATCCAGCTGGCACAGCCCCACCCCCACCCCGCTCATCCCGCCCCGCCAAGCTCTGGCCTCAGCCCCTTCTGTATGGTTTTCCTTTTTATCCTTCAAGGTCTACCATGGGCCACTTCCTGAAATGATTTTGGGCATCACTTAGTGTTTGTATGGCCTTTCTGAGAGCAGGCGCTGGGTCGTTTAGAACCCCTTTGTCCATAATAAAGCCTTACAGTGGTTAGGTGAATGAATGAATGAGTAACAGAAACCCCAAACACACCAGTCCACCCTTTCCAGCTGTACTTCCTGCTTCTAGCCCTTCCCAGGCTTCTCCAGGGAAGCCCTAGTTTTTGGGCATCAAGAGTAACTGGCAGGTCAGAACTGGGGAGAGTTGTTCTAACTGGGTGCAGGCGCATCTACCACACCTCCATTCTCTCAGCCCAGACTATGAATGCACAAAACCATCCACACTCACTCAGAGAAGGGCCATGAAAGGGGCCTGAACAAGGCTTGGACGCTAGAGCTGTCCCTGCCACCTCCTCTCCTGAGCCTTGGTTTTTCTGTCTGAAAAATGGCTAATCCTGCTCTGTGGAGATGATGCTGTGGCATGAAATGGAACATTCTTCCTGAGTTTTCCAAGGAAGGAGGGAACTAGTATTTATTCATCAAAGACTAACAAAAGGGATGGGAAGCCACCGTCTGGATTTGGACCCCAGCTGGGTCACTTCCCAACTGTGTGGCCTGGAGTCAGTTACCTAACTGCTCTGGACCTCAGCTGTTGCATCTGTGAAAGGGAGTTAATATGGGTATCCACCCTTTGGAGATTTGGTGAGAATTAGATGAGTTAATATAAAGATGACTAGAACAATACTGGGCACCAAATGACTCACAGAGCTTTGTTGTTCTTGTTCATTTGAAAATATACACATAATAAGTTAAGGAACTTTATATAACTCACTTTATTAACAACCCAGGAAAGCAGGAGTTATCAGTAGCTTCATTTTACAGATGGAGAAGCTGAGTCCTGTGGCTCATGGCAGACCTGGAGAAGAATAATGGGTCACAAGATGCCTGAACCAGCTACTAAGCAGAAGTCAGGACTCTTGAGTACGGTTCTGTCGCTGTCAGGGAGGACAGGAGGAGAAGGAGGAGGGGATGAGGTTTCCAAGACTCGGTGGAAAGCAAGTTCTAGGTCCAGTTCTCCAGACCTTTGGGTCTTGAGCACCTGCTGTGTGCTGGGCCTGGGGCTGGGTACTGGGGACCCAGCAATGGCCAGACACTGCCAGTCTGTACTTACACGGGATTTGCAATTCACAGACCGTGAATGTGGGATCCTGGGTCATCAGGCCCAAGGGAGGATGTGGGTCACTATGGGAGCCTGGAGGAGGCTTGGCGGGGGCGGGGAGGATGGAATCAGGGGAGGCTTTCTTGGAAGGGCGGTGTCGAAGCCAGAGGCCAGGTAAGCAACAGGTGCATGAAAGGGTACGTGCCTCCCAGGCTGGCTGCTGTGGTGGGCAAGCAGGTGCCAGACTTCCCAACGCTTCAGGATATATTGGCTAAGATGAGGTCACACTGAAGTGGGGTGGCCCTAGCCTCAGACTAGCGTCCTTGTAAAAGCCCAGACGTACACTCAGGGACAGCCATTGAGGGTGGAGGCAGAGACTGGGTGATGCCTCTAAAGATTGCCGACAACCCCCAGAATCTGGGACAGATGCCCCCACGATCTCCACCTTAGTCTGGGGCTCCCCGCCTCCAAAACCCAGAGAGGACGTATTTCTGCTCCTTAAACCACCCAGCCCCAGTGTGTGGTGCTTTGATATGGCAGCCCCAGCAAACGGATATGCCAAGAAACTGGAATTTAAAATTTCAATTCATTTTAATTTAGAGAGCCACATGTGGCTTTTGGCTGCCGTGGCGGACAGTGGAGTGAGCGGTTTCCAGTCAGGGCCTCCCGGATCATGCCGCGAAGAAACTGAGCCTGAGAGCAAAGCTGCTCTGGGCCAAGCGGCTGGCAGAGAACTGCCCCGAGAGCTAACAAGGCAAGATAGGCGTACAGCCAGCACCCCTGGCCCTGGGACTTTCTGCCCGGCCAAAAGGGGCCACCTGAGGATTCACCCCAGCGCAGTCTCCGAGAGTCCCGTGGGCTACGTACACGCGGACAGATTCAAAGTGAGACGGAGGCACTGGCCACGCTCGTGGCTTGGTGGCCACGCACGATTCCCGCACGGGACGGGCGGGGTGGAGGCCCCATCGCCACGGCCAGCACAGCACCCTCGGCCTCTGCTGCAGCCTAATGTGGGGGTCTGATGCCTCTGGAGGAATGAGCTCCCCAAGGCAGGCAGGCGGCCAAGAGGCTGCCCTAGCCTGGGGACCCACACCTGGCAGAGGCCTGCAGTGGGAGAAGGGGGGCAGGGAAGCAGGGGAACGGGAAGTGAGCGAGAAGGGGCGGATGTCAACTGTCACTGGCTGCCCCACCCTGGCCAGGCAGCTGCACAGGTCACACACTCCCGCTCACCCACCCACCCTGCCTGGCCCAGCCGGCGGCCTGCTGTGGCAGCAGCTCCAGGGCAGGCGCTCTGCCCACACCTCTCTGTCCCCCACACTTACCCTCCAAGCTCCGCCCCGTGGGCCTCCCGGGGCACAGGCACACCCCTGCATGCCGCCAGGAGCCCACGGCCCTGTGCCTTGGGCCCGAGGAGGTGAAGAAGAGGGACGCTGTGAGGCCTCCTGGCAGCGTTGTCTGTCCGAGCTGCCAGACGCCGACCGACAGCTCACCCTTGTAGCTTCACAGTCCAAAGGGACGCAGCGCGGGCGAGGGCCCCCAGAGCCAGGGCCCACACAGCAAGCCCGCCGGCCCCACTCCGTGGCCCCGTCCGTTCCAGTGAGCAGCCTCCTCCTTCCCCGAGGACACGATGGCAAACCGGCTGGGCATCAGCAGGCCCAGAGGGGCTGCGGCAAGGACCCCGGCCCCTGGGGTGCCCGGCCAGCTACAGCGTTCTCTCCGCTCCAGCCAGGCCCGGCTGCGTCCCGGTGTGCAGGCTTCTATCCCAAAGCTGTGAGACCCAGGCCCTGGGCCCACAGCTCCCGGCCTCCTCCAGGGCAGGCACGCGCCCTGCAACTGGACCCCTGACTCCAGCCGTGGCTCAGATGCTCCGAACGCTGGAGATGCTGGACAGGGGCTCCCGCATCCGGAAGCTGAGTGACCGCGAGGCCCGGAAGCTGTCCCTGGGCCGCAGCGAACTGTCGGTTGTGGAGGCCTCAGAGTGGGCCTCAGCAGCCTTCACCAGGCAGTCCCCGGGGCCCCGCAGGCCCAGCCGGAGGCAGCTGCAGCAAAGGAAGACCAGCACAGCCCGGCGCACCTCCTGGCTGCGCAGGGAGTAGATGAGGGGGTTGACGGCCGAGTTGAGCACCGCCAGGGCCAAGATGCAGTCCATGCCCCGCAGGTACTCCTGGGCTCGGACGTTGGAGCCCGAGAAGTCAGCCAGCAGCAGCCCGAAGAGGGGCCCCCAGCACACCACAAAAGCCACCAGGATCATGAGAACCGTCTTGAGCAGCCGGCGGGCCTTGCGGCGGGCAGGGAGGCGCGGGGCCTGCTGCCCGCTGAGCCGCACCACCCTGAATATGACCCCGTAGAGCACCACGATGGCGACCAGGATGGCGGCGAAGAGCAGCACGCAGAAGAAGATGTACCCCTTGGAGTAGAGCGGCAGCAGGCTGGAGCACTTCTCAAAGTGGCATACGCAGTTCCAGCCGAGCAGGGGCAGCAGGCCCAGCAGGGTGGCCAGCAGCCAGCACAGCCCGATGCAGCTGTAGACGCAGCTGGCCTTGGTGGCCCGGCTCTTGGCCAAGGGCTGCACCATGGTGATGAACCGCTCGACCGCAGTGAAGAGCAGGCTGAAGGTGGAGGCGGCCAGCGCCATGAAGAGCAGGCCCTCCCGCAGGAACCAGTGGGCCGGCGCCAGGTGGAAGGTGTGCGCCCCGGACAGCAGCACGTTGACCTGGTAGGCCACCCCGGTGAGCAGGTCGCTGAGCGTGATGTTGACCAGGCAGTAGTATACCCAGCGGCGGGACCGCATGCGGAGCATGATGGCCATTAGCACCAGGAGGTTCTCCAGCACCACCAGGCAGCCCAGCGCCACGAGGAGCCCCCGCCAGGCTCCCAGACCGGCCTCATCCGGCCCGCCGCGGCCCACCAGCCGGCCCGAGTGGTTGTAGTGCAGGATGATGAGCCGGCTGTGGCCAATGGCTGCCAGCCTGTGGCAGGACTCGGGGGCCTCCTCCAGCGACCCCGTGGCATTCATGACCGTCTACGGGGCAGACTGAGGCCCCGGGGTGGCTCACCCCAGCCAGGGTGGAGTCGCCGCCTTGCCTGGTCTGGTTTCCTGTTATTTGAAATTTCCTGTTATGTTCAAGGTATCCCCAGGGTGGGGGTGAGCCAGGAATGGGGAGGGGCAGCCTAACGGTCGTGAGGGCCCTGTGGTTGCCCTGCTGCAGACACCCCTCTCTGTCCCCATCTGTCCTAGAAAGCCTAAGGGGGTGGGGAGCCCAGGGAGGGGAAATGGCTCCACCCCCGGGCCTCCAGCCCGCCCCCCCCAGCAGCCAGCAGCCACCCCGCCCCCCACATCACTCCCTGTTGGTGGCTGGCTCCCAGCTGCTCCCAGCTGCCTGCACACAGTAGGTGCTTAGTGAATCCTGTCAAGTGACTGCACGCACACACCCGAGCCCCAGCCAGCAACCGCCCCGAAGGTGTGGCTGCGCCCCCTTTACTTCCAGCTGGGGTCACGGCCAGCCCTCTGCAGAAGGGGATGCAGCTGGGGGCGGCAGCTGTCCAGGCAGACACCCATCTCGGGCCAGGACTCTCCTCGCCGCCCAGGTTCCCTCCTGCTCCCGGGGTGACTGCTAAGGGCTGGCGGGGACACCCATGGTGGGCGGCTCATGGCCTCTGGAGGGAAGGTGCTTGCTCCACCCTGCCCTGTCCCTCCTGACTCGGCTGAGCTGACTCAACCTGAATTGGTCGAGGCCTAAGATGCGGGCACCAGGTGGCGAAAGGAAGCAAGGAACCATGGGAGTCCTCAACTAATGAGAGTAACCCTGGCAAAGAGGAGAGACATGGGGACCAAGCTAACTGATTTATACGTTGAAACGGCAGTAATTCAAGCAACGTGGTCCTGGAATAAAAGTTATATGGATCAACAGAACAAATTCCAGAGAGCAGAAGGAAAGCCACGGACACGTCAGTCCTGAGTTCGTGCTGGGGCGCCACGGCCACTCTGACAGATGGTGCTGGGAGAAGACACAACGAAATAAAGCCACCGGTGTGGCAAAGAGCGTGCTCACTAGGCTTTGCTGTGTGACCATTTCAGTAGCTGAAAGGCAAGCTCAGCCTCTCTGCAGCTAAATTAATTCACCAGCTCTAAGGCAGCAAGTCCAAAGTTTCAGAAGGGTCACAGCAAGTAAATTTTAAACCGGATTGTAATTATTCAACTACTAACACAGAAATAAAACCTTATGTCTTGAATTGTTTGTCAAAAGTCCTAATTGTTCTTACTGAGTAAAGAAATGGCTTATATGTGTGCTTTAAGACAGAATCGAATCACATAATTACTAAACTACACTATCGTTCCCTGCGTCTGAGATAAATATAAAAGCCAACTGCAGTTACAAAATATTGGAGCTAGGAAAATGGGATGGTCATCTGGGGAAGAGAAATTGGATCACTTCCTAGCTCCACGCACAAAATAAACTCACAGGGCCCCCTCGTGGGGCTAAGTCCCAGGCTATGACCCGTCAGCGGCTGCTGAGACCTGGGTTCGATCCCCGGCCAGGGAGTGACCCGCATGGCACAGCAGACCCCTCCTGTCTGCCCGCTGCTCCCTCAGTGTATTTCAGTCAGGCTGCCTGTTCTGCTCCCCACTCTGTCTCTGGTGAATCCCCTCACCCCCTGCACCTCTGGCCTGTACCACAGTTCTGTGTGCATCAAGAAATAAATCTTTAAAAAAAATAAAAATGGAAACACTGCATGACCAGCAGCCCCCTGTTGGGCACAGGTGTGGAGTATCCACAACACAAATCCTGTTCAGTCCTAAGGAATGATGACATGTTGACATGCGTAGTAAAACGGAAAGAGTTGGAGGGAGTTGTGTGTCGTAAAAAAAGAACAAAAGGCGAATATTAGACACGGACACCGTGGGCCTCCCAGGTGCCACATCAGCTTTGCAAGCCACGCAGCTGCTCAGCGTGAGTTCCATCCCGGCCAGGGGGTGACCCCCAGGGCGCAGCAGACCTCTCCTGCCTCCCCGCTGCTCCCCTCAGCAGTGTTGTTCGTCACTCTGCTCTGCTCCCCACTCTGACGCACCTCTGGCCTGTGCCTTGGCTCTGTATGCATAAATAAGTAAATCTTAAAAAAAAATTGACACCATGGACAATTTAACAAGGCGAAATACTTATGAAACTAAGAGACCTTAGTTTTTGAAGCTGAGGAGGAGGGGGAAGGATCAAGGGCCCAGAGCACAAGGAAGGGCAGCTCACGGAAAATAAACTCTAGAACTCAGACACGTGAAAAAATCTCCAATGAAACTCGGAGATGAGTCCATGAAGGGGACGGAGGACTGAACAAGGACACCCAGCTCCCTGAGACCGGGGGAGGGGGGGTGCGGTGAAGGTGAAGAAAAACCAAACAAGTTGACTGCAAGCAATCAACTGATGCACCACGCACCACTCAGAAATAGCAAAGAGCCAACCCATGCAGCGGCTGGACACACACTCGCGCTGCAGACAGGAACTGGGGGCCGCGTCTAGATGACCATGGGGTGCAGTGTGCAGCGATACTGAAACTCGCATGTGTGATGGAACCAGTTAACCAAACTGGTGTTTGGTTAACGAGAGGCCACAGATACCCACAGCCTGCACCGTCGGGCCTGGGGGTGCAGCAGCTGCACCTGCCCACCCCCACCAGTGTCATTACCCTCCGATGTTCACCCAGGAACAGAACTGCCCGAGGAGACATTTCTCAGGACGCATCCCCATCAGCACCCCCGTAACCGGGCATTGCAGTGACTGGTAACCCGGACCCTCGGCGAGGAGGGGGAGGAGGAGAGAGGAGAGAAATGTGGGACCCAGAGGGGGCCCAGACCCGGGCTGTGGCGGAGCAGAGCTCAGAGTGTCACCATGGACTTGCGATTTAAGCAAGTATCTGCTTCCTAGTTCGGAGCCCGAACCACGGAGACTGCCCCACAGCAGCACGCGAGCTCCCAGCCGGGGCTTCTTGATGTCACCTCTGCCCCCTCGATGAGAAATGATTCCTGGCTCCTGGGAGAAATGGCTGAAGGGGTCGCTCAGCCTGGCTCTGAGCAGGACCTGCTAGTCACACCCAGCAGCGTGGCAGCTGGTCCAACCTGGGATAATTTGAAACCAACCACAGATGACCTTCCAGAGACAGGTCTCTCCCTTGTGGCGCAAAGGGTTGAAGCGCAGGACGATGGGGCTCTCTGCAGCCCCCGCAGCACCAGCTCCATCCCGGCCAGCGAGCGACCCACAGGCCAGCAGCCCCCTCCTGTCTCCCCGCTGCTCCCCTCAGCAGTGTGTTTCAGTGGACCCACCTGTTCTGCTCCCCACTCTGTCTCTGGGGAGTCCTCTCCCCCCTGCATCTCTGGCCTAACCCCCCCCCAGCCTTGTATGCATAAATAAATCTTAAAAAAAAACAAAACAAAAACCACAGAGACAGGAGATAGGTGGTGGTGTGAGGGGCTGGGGTGGGGGAGGGGAGTTAGTGCTGGGGGGAAAGTTCCAGTTCTGGCACTGGAGAGAGTTCTGGAGAGGGTGGGCAGGACGCTGCAGGCACTGCGAGCCAGGGTAAGAGCTGACCCGTCCTCCCAAAGCGGTGCTGTGTGTGATGTATCACAGTGCAAAATTAGGAGGAAGAATCATCTTGCCACGCGATCCAACAATTCTAGCTTTCGGCATCACAGTGTGCTTGATCAGTTAGAAAACCACCCTCTGTCAGCATCGCAGCAAGAACTGACCGAAACAAGACTCATCACTAGATGTAAAAATTACTGGCCCGGGGCTCTGGGGGCAGAGCATGGACACAGTCCCGAGCACCTTCCCGCAGATGGCTTCCTCACCATAATGAGAAAACTGAGTCACTGCCGAAGCCTGCTGAGTAGCACACACCGAGGGCGCCACCCTCCATCGCCGGGTGTGCCACCACCAGGCCACCGTGGAGGACGGTCCATCCACGCTGCTCCTGCCAAAAGCATGTGCTGCGCTTGCATGAGGCTCCAATCCACCAGCCCCCCCGCTGCAGACACCCCATGCCGTCACCAGCCCACACTCAGGGGCACACTGGTTATTAAAAGGAAAAGGGTGTGGGCCCTCCCAGGGGTGTGGGCCCTCCCTGGTGGCACAGCAGCAGGGCAAGCTGGCCACAGCCACCTCAGTGCAAGTTCAATCTCCTAGCAGGCCGCAGCAGACCCTGCCTGTCTCCCTGCTGCTCCCCTCAGCAGTGCACTTCATCGATCTGCCTGTTCTGCTCCCCACTCTGTCCTGGTGAAGCCTCTCACTGCCCCTGCACCTCTGGCCTGTACCCCAGTTCTGTATGCATGAATAAATAAATCTTAAAAAAAAAAAAAAGAAAAAGGAAGGGGTTTGTTGTAGGAAACAAGGGTTTTGCAGGCCAAGTGCCTAAGATCTCCAGTTATTTAGGAGATTTATGATCAAGAATAAGACTGTATGTTCTACATAGAATCATCCTGTGTTTTTAGGTTGTGCTTATGGGAAAAGTTCAGCTTGGCAGTTTTATTTTCTGTAAAGGGCCTAAAAGAAATATTTTCAGCTTTTCGAACAAAAGCGTCTCTGTAGAAATCTCTCAACTGAGCCACCAGGGATGAAATGCAAATAAATGCACGCTGTGAGCTGAGGAATCCTGACTGGCTGGAGCAGGTTAGCGCAGGGAGCCCTGGGCGCCATCCCACAAAAGATGGGAGATCATGGTGAGAGTTTTGCAACTTCTGTAGGGTCGAATGTTTTCAAAATGAAAAGATCAGTGAAGAAAATTTGAATTTCCTAATTTTGTGGCCTCTCAAGATCATCCCCGTTCAAGAGACGCAGAGCTCCTTGCGGGAACGGATGGATGGGGGGGGGGTGCTGAAAGTGGAGGAGAAGCCTACCACCCCCCAGTGCCAGGAGGAGCCTTAGGGCCCCTGGGTGGTTACGAACCAACTTAGCAGCCAGAGGCGGGCAACATGGGCAGGTGGGAAGAGTGACAATTGCAACCTCTGAACACACATCACTGGTCAACAACACATGTGAATGAGTGCGCAGTGACTCAGAAAAGTCTGTTCACCGGTGTTGGCTATTGGGGAACTCATTCTTTATTCTGAAAGCCTCCAAATAGAAAGTAAGAATCAGGCCCTGGCCCTGTCTCTCCTGCAGTCTCGATTTCTGGGTAACCAATTGCTTGATGGGGAGTTTTTTTAAATCACTCTACATTTTAATAATTATTTTCAAGTGTACTAAAATATATAGTACATAGAAGTTACCGTGTCAACCATGGTTAAGCGCAGAGCCTGGTTGTTTTAGCACATTCATGCTGTTGTGCAATCCTCTCCACCCTCTGTCCCCAGAGCTTTGTGTCTTCCACAATTGAAACTCCACCCATCAAACACTGACTCCCTCCCCCCGCCACTTCCGGCAGCCCCAGCTACCTGCTGTCCCTGTGGCTGTGACTCCTTTGGGCCCTCCTGTGAGTGGGTCACACCGGATTGGTCTGTTTGAGTCTGGCTTATTCCACAGAGCATTGTGTCCTCAAGGTCCATCCACACGGTGGTTGTGTTAGAGTGTCCTTTTTAAGGCTGAATAATATTCCACGGCATGCATTTATCCATCCATCTGTCCATGAACACTCCAGTGGCTTCATGGCTTAGCCACTGGGAATCAAACTGCTATAAACACGGGGCACAAACATCTCCTCAATATCCTGCTCTCATGGCTTGGAGGTGAATGTGGTTTTCTTTTTTTTTTTTTAAAGAATGATTCTAGACAACAAATGTGAAAGAAATGTAAGTATTAAAAGCCCTATTTTTGCAACTCCACAATGATGTAGAGAGGCTCATGGGGGAGATGCATGATGGATGGATGAGCCTGATGACAGGGGAGCCCACTGGTCAATCTACACATGAGACAGGACCAAGCAGACGTGATATTGTTAAGTGACTCAAGAGACAGAGAGAGAGACAAAGTCTCAGAGGCAGGGAGGGAAAGCGAGGAGGCAGAGAGAACTAGATTCTATGTACCTTCTGCTGGAAACTCACAACCCCACCTGCAAAATCCACTCAAGTTCCTAGAGAGGTCGACTCACAGGACTTCCAGCAGACAGAGGAATACATGAATTGACCCCTGGAATGCAACTCAGTCAGGAGGCTGGGAAACTACTGGACAAATATCACCTGGTTTCTGCAGCAAATAAATGGCAAAAGGACTGGGAGAAGGTTACAGATCAAAAGAATCACAAGCGACGCCATGTCCTGTCTCACACAAATCACCTGTAACTCTATACAGTCCACAGGCCAGTTAGTAGGGCTGTTGTCGATGGTAATTTCCTGGCTTCAACAACCCGGCGTGTAGTATGGTTATGTAGGGTGTTAACACCAGAGGAAGATGGGTAAACTTACACTATTTCTTCACTTCTTCTGTACACCTAAAGTTGTTGCAAAATAAAGATGTCTTCAAAAAGACATTTGTTAGATGAATAGAGAAATCGGAACATCGACAGGCTGTGTAATACTAAGGAATTGCTGGGAATATTTTTTTTTTTTAAGATTTATTTATTTGTGCATACAGAACTGGAGCACAGGCCAGAGGCGCAGGGGCGGTGAGAGGCTTCACCAGAGACAGAGTGGGGAACAGAACCAGCAGATCGACAAAGCACACTGCTGAGGGGAGCAGCGGGCAGGCCAGGAGAGGTCTGCCATGCCATGTGGTCACCTCCGGAGCAGGCGGGAATCGAACTCATGCGGAAGCGGCTTTAGATTCTCAGTGCTGCGCTTTAACCCGCTGCGCCACCAGGGAGGGCCAAGAATATTTTTTAGGTGCAACAGTGTTCCATAGACATTAGGGTTGTACTCTCACAAAGGAAACTTTATCTTTCTCAAGGATGCCCTGATGTATGTACTGTCAAAATGGTGTGACCTCGGGGATACTGAAGTGGCCATGTTGCAGAAGTGACGAAGACAGGGAGGATGGACGGATATTTATGGCTGAGACTGATTTAGGAATAATGGGGTTAGCTACGGGGCTCAGGACCTTACCGTCAACACCCCGGACCCACCACTCTTTTTGGGTTATACAGGATTGTTTTTGTTTTTTAAATCAAGAGAAAATGAATACAGTAATCATGAATATGTAACAACGATATGGACAACAAACTCAAGATGAATTTAAGTCACCTTTCTGCCGACACAGGTGTCAAAAAAACGATTTTCT